TAAAATAAAGTTGTGGCCATGTTTTATAACCATAAAGTTGAGTATGGTATCATTTTTGTGCCGGTGCAAAAGGCACTAAATGTGGATGAGACAGAAGTCATTGCTGCAACTGTGTGTGATGGAAGCATTTCAGCCACTTCTATGGGTATTACAGTTGGCTCTTTATGAACATAATCCAGTAGTCCATACTAGATTTACTTTACTTGTAAATCTTTTTATGTAGATAAGTAGTAACAAACACTGAAAGAATACAAGAAACAATACAGCAGGCAGAATAGTCAGGTATCATAACAAGGATATGAAAAACATGAGTGTGCTATTCCAAACAAAGGTTGTGTACAGAGTCATATTCTTTCAAACATTTATATGGCAGATGAAAGGGAGGTTACAGGCACAAATGAAACTGCAAGTTTGAATTCCTTCAACATATTATTTACTGACAACTCTATGTTCAACAGTGGTATAACCATCTTGTCATATCTATAAAGCAATGTGTGTGGCAGATATCCAGTGAAGAACTATTTCTAATTTGGCTGTTATTAGCAAAGGTAACTAATTCCCTGTGTAAAAAGGTTTCTGTAGTGTGCACTATAAAATATTTTAAAAAAAATGAGGGGTTGGCAAATAACGTTTTTAGATATTTACACTAACCTTTCTCTTGGCTATGTATCTGATATATAAAAAAGCCTGAGAAAGTGAACTGGTTCAATCATGTCCAACTCTCACTAAAAAGCCAACATTTTACAATGTACTTTAATTCCATTTATTTTAACAGGACAGACTTGGCTAGCTTTTAATAGATTGTGCCCAGAGTCCTTTGCTAATAGAAGTAGTCCTGCTTGATATTTTCTGATGCAAAGGAAACCTAAGCTATTATTATTTGTAAAGCAAGATGAAGGAGTTTTTGTGGGAAGGGAACAACACCAACCTTTATTTTCTAAACTAGTGTTGAACAATTTTAACACCATAATACATACAATGTAACTCAAAACTTCAAGCCATAAAATATTATCATAATCAATAGGCTTTATTGCTATCAAATGCATATGATTAACGCATTTTGTATGGCAGTGATAAATGTCTAGATAAGCAGGACAGATGAAGAAACTTCCATGTGCTACTAATTCATAGAAAATTATCTTCAGAAACCCAGTAATAGGTAAAATATACTGAAAAATGCTATCCACATTTCTTCAGTGAAGTATACTTACTACAAGAGAATAATCTCTGTCATCAACTTCTATTTTAGGATGATATTTAAATTGTCAATGGATAAAAATAGTACATGTATCTTGCATATTGTGCTACTTAAGCTAAAAGGGGAAACTGGGAGGAGAATAAGTGGGGTGAGTTGGGATCACCAATTTGAATGCATCATTGGGAATGAGACCAAACAGTGCAACCTCTGTAATACAGAACAATTTCACCAGTTTTGTCAGTTACATTAGCAATTATGCAAGTTGCTGTTTCATAACTATATTGACTCTTTCATTTTACTAGCAAATCAGAGCTCTTTAGACAGACAATATTCAATTAATTAAATATTTTCTAAAAAGGTGAAGGGCTTTGCTGCCCTGGTATGAGGACTCAACAAAATTCAGTTCTGCTGTACAGGAAAGCAGAAATGAAAATAGGATTTAACAGACAAAGCATGAAAGATCCACAGCAGGAAATCATTATTTGGACAATTTTTCACTTTGCTAAGATCCTGGATTATATTTATATCTATCAGAGTACACTGCTGTGTTTGTGATTTCTCTATAGTGCCATGTCTAATTAGGTACAAACTGGTAGTGCAGACTGGAGAGATTTGCAATTCTGTGAGGTTTCTACAAAAGCATATGTCATAGATGCATACTCTGGCACAAAACTATCCTGCTAAAACTGGAACAGTTGGCTAAAATAGAATCTCTGCTAAAAGAGGTCCAGATAATGCCAACAGAAGTGGTTTACAGAAATACTTCAGTGACCATTACATCTGCAAAAGATTAAGTAGTTAAATGGTTCAGTTTGAGTTAACATTTATAACACAGGGCTTTATGTAAATAAATGCAACTATGTATTTCAATCATATATTTGCAGATCACATATTTCCAGTTGAAAGTGTCAACTCCAACAAATATGGTAGTTTTTTTATTCAACATATTCAGATAATAAATGTAAAGATATTCCCTGTTGACAAGGTTGTCAAGTCGCGTCTGACCGTAGAGGGCTGTGCTCATCTCCGTTACTAAGCTGAAGAGCCAGCATTGTCAGAGAGTACTCTGTGGTCATGTCCCCAGCATGATTGCACAAAACGCTGTTTATCTTCCCACTGAGAAGTGGTACCTATTTATCTACTTGTGTTTGCATGCTTTCGAACTACTAGGTTGGCAGAAGCTGGGACTAGTGATGAGAGTTCACCCCATCATGCAGCATCCAGGCCTAGAACTGCCAATCTGCCAATCTTGCAATCAACAGAGTCAGTATCTTAACCACTTGAGCCACCATACTACTGAAATATTTCTAAACTGATGAAAACAGTTTGTATTTAATCTCAAAACATGGATGCTCAGAAGGAATACTGCTGAAATCTGGTAGAGCAATCTGAGAGTACCAAAACCTCAAAAATTTAAGGTAGACTCTGAAAGCAGTTTTCAGTTCAGTACAAGTTGGTGAATACATATATAAGAGCATAATCCTAACTTGTGATGATGGTTCTTAGCCGCCTCAATTGTTCTCTGAGGGTCGGGGTACAAATTATTATTATTATTATTATTATTATTATTATTATTATTATTATTATTATTATTATTATTATTATTATTAGGCCACCTGAATAGGTACTACAACTCCTCACAGCATATTGTTGAAATTTATTTAGGACTTTGCCACCAATGCAGTTGTACTGGTACATTGCTCATTCATTCATTCATTCATTCATTCAATTTAGATCTTGCTTTTCTCCCAACATTGTTCTGTTAGCATTTGTGAAATCAGTGGGCAGAAGAGGACTCTGCTGGCACAACAGCATTCTACTGACAGGAGGGCTTGTATGTAATTCTAACCACATTTTCTATAATCTGTAAAAGTTCATGTCAAGCTGCTTTCTTTCCAGTAATTTCCCCAGTCTTTTAAAACCTGCCAATTTAAGACTAGTGCTAAGCTTATCTCAGCATGGCTCAAACTTTGCAAAGTCAGAAAACTGGAAAGCAACGCCTCTGCATCCACAGACATATCACCAGCAGTGATGCCCTACATTGTCTGGTACTTATAAATGATCTCTGAGCTTTAATATGTTGCTTTTTTCTTTCTCTCCATCTACCTGTCAGGCAGAGTGACTCTTAGCCCTCAAAATCACTTCATTCTTCTTAGCTGACATTTGTTTTCAACTCTTTCTCTCATCCAGAGCTAGAATATTGACAGGAGAATGGCATTGGATATGCTTGAGTTATGCCATAAGATTCCATAAATTCATTTAAACAGATAAAGCCAAGAAACACTTAATTTAAAAGCACCAATACTAAATTAAGGTCAATGAAAATGTAAACTGATTCTGGCTATTCACAAAACCAAATTCATCTAACTATTCCTAGTGCTTCAACTTCTTTTTGCTAGCCCCCGGACTTCAACATAAATGGCATATTTACAATGCAAAAACTCTGGTGGGGATATATATGTTATGGTAACTTGTTAAATATATATATATAAATTAACATTAACTGATGTTTTTGCGATCTCTCTTACTAGTAATAGCAATAGCAAGTACATTTCTATACTGCTTATCAGTGAACTAGCACTCCCTAAGCAGTTTACAATGTGTAAGCCAATTGCCCCCTAAGAAACTGGGTACTCATTTTACCAACCTACGAAAGAATGGAAGACTGAGTACACTCGGGAGCCCTGCCTAGGATCGAACTCACAACATTGTGGCTGTGAGTGGCTGCAGTACCAGCATTTAACCACTGCACCACCAGAGCTATGTAAAGAATTTACCAATACCATAACAGAACACTTGGGATCTCTACTGTGTATGCTTGACATAAGAAAATAATTGTGAACAAATAACTCTTGATGAAGTACCAAAAAACCCCAAAAACACTTCCTAAAAATTATTTTCCCCCAACTGTTCTTTCTCAAAATTATACATTTTAGAAAGTGCTATATGTGTATTGTTTTGCTTGTTTTTTGTCCCACTATTCTTCCTGAAAGTCAGCATGGTGTAGAGGATTGAGCTTTAGACTATTACTCTGGAGACCAGGGTTCAAATCCTTTTTGACCATGGAAACCCACTGGGAGACCTTAGGCAAATCAAACTTTCTCTGAAC